GAATGATAGTATGATTATTCATAGCCACAGTATTAGTTTGAAGATGTTTTTCCTAAATGTTTAAGGTGATGTATGCTTGTTTAGGAAAGGGGTTTTTTTTTAGTGTTTGTAAAAAAAATCTATGCCAATCAAAACAGAGCCTGCAGTGAAAATGCTGTTACAATTATTATGAATGACTTATGTTTTTTATTTACCATGGAGTTGGTATTCCATTATCAGGCTGTATGTTTCATCTTCAGCTTGTTATTTAGGTTTTTAGTAACCTTTTTCCTCCCCTGCCACTCCATTCTCCATTATGCTTAGCCAGAAAAGAAAGAAGTCCTTTTTCTAATGCTGTACCAAAACTACCTTTGGAATAGGTTTATATTGGTAAATATCCTGGGTAATTTTTGTTTTACATGAGGGTACTGAACATTTGGTCAAATATCTTTTACAATCTAAAACCTTGTCTTTCTTTTCAAGTTCTCTTTAAGTTCTTTTAAAGGAAAAGCCAAAACAGTTAAAACACATTCTCACTCTACTTTTTAGAGTCTGCACATGTTGAATTGAATGTTTTCAAGATAATAATTTCTCGTAGGGATTTTTCTTCAGTCTACTGCTGGAAATATTACACATTTGTAAGCTTTTCTAATAGGTGTAAAAGCATTTTTTATTGCTTGAGTATTCAAATACTTAGGCATTTTTTTTCTATTAGTGCTTATTGGCCTGAAATTTACATACAGACATAAACATAGTCCAGTGTCTGATTAACTGAATAGGATAATATGTAGGGAGGAAAAAAATTACATGTTTTTCAAAGGAATGTAGAGTCACTGATGCCAAGTATATCTTTTGAATTCTCTTTTCATTCTGGATACTACTCCACAGAAGTGTTTTAGCCAGATTACTGAAAGACTTGTAATAGGTAACAAATACCTTTTTATGTATGAAATACAAATTCAGCAGTTAATGATCTCTCAACTGGAGCAGAAAATAAGCACAATTTTTACAGCTTCTGTGTCAAATGCTGTTCCATCTCAATTGATGTGAATGACAGAAGTGTTAAGCAAAGATGTTTTTCTTCAGTTGAAGTACATTTGAAATAATGCCAAATCAGTAGCTCAAGAATGAAATGTAAAACAAGTTTCGGTAATATTACATGTATTGTATTTGCTCTCATTATTTAGGTGGGAGCTTTATTTACATTGCCATGTAGTGTAAGCAGCGTAGTGATCCCATCCCCTGCCCAGCTGAGTACCAAGAAATGGAAGGAATATATGGCTAGGAAACCCAAGGTCATTACTGGTAGGTAAAAGGAAGATGACTAGAGGTATATTTTGTTGTGGTTATATCTACATGTGTGTGTATGTATGTGTGTATATGTATATGGTGGGTTTTTTCTGTATATTTGGGATGCCCTTTTTTTCTCTCTAATGAAATTAAGTCAGTGATTGTAATCTTCATTGACACAAAAGGTTTTGGTGAATGTGTGTTCAGCTATGCAGACTTGTAGAGGAAAATTGATAACTAACATCATGGCAAGCTTTAGGGAAACAACGCATCTCCTTGAAATTATTTCTGTGTCCTATCTGTCAGCTCAGATGCAGCTTCCACACACCTTTCTAAGGTGATTGTACAACGCATGGGCAAAGAGGTTTGCTTCTGCAGATGGAAATCCAGTATGCTTCACTTGGGTACTTCCCTTCTCACTTAAGTATTTCCAGAGGTTCTTCAGTGCACTTACATTTAATTTCAGCCTCTTCCCGGGAAAATACAGAACGTCAGGAGATGCTGGGTGCCTCCATTCACCTGAGAGCCAGTGTGCTTAACTAGTGATTGAGAATGTGCTCCTTCCTCCTGATGGGGCTATACTGATGGTAGCCAACTCCTCTTACGCAGTGTGCCAATGCTTAGAAATCCTATTCAGAAAGTGAGAGAACAGAATCAGTGCAGATCAAACTGGGTGGAGTTTCTCAGTCAGCCAGTATATATGCCCTGTAAGTGGAGGCACTGTACAGGTACTGTGGGGTTTGTAGGAACTTGAAAACATCAGGCTAAAAGGAGCTTGGTGATAGCCCAGTGCTTAAAGTACTTATCCAGGACAGGATAAGATGTAGGACTCTGATGCCTTATATGATTTTGTTGTTTACACAGTGGTCTAATATATAATTCATGCAGATTCCAAAGAACAGTGACTTCTGTTGCCAGCTGAAGATAGCGTTTGTAAACAAGCATGCAGATGAGGATGGCTGACAGACTGATACTCTTTCAGGTTTTGGGATAGGCAAAAAATTGAGAGGAATTAGGAAGAGCTGTATAACAGGGCAAGGAGCTTAATTCCGTGGAGTGGGTGCTGGCAGTATATAGATTTAAAATTATCTCTGCATGTTTGGAGGTGGTAGAGCAGAGAGGGTGTGATTATAAAGCTGATCACAGCAGCAGCATTTATACTGTATTGGAGAGATGCTACCGATGCAGTCAAATGAGCGCAAGATCCCCAGTGTCTGGAAGATCTTCTTTGTCCTGTGCTCCAGTGGAAGGGTTTTGTACAAGTATTAACTATAATGTGATCAGTAATACACAATAGGTTCTTATTAGGCCTCTTGAGTAAAATTAGAGTAGGAGGGGAAATGTGGCCATTTAAACATACTTGCTCGTTTAGTTGAAAACTTTATTTTTTAGTGGATACCACTAATCTGACTATATTAAGAATTTGCTTCAATCTGTGGGAAGGTGTAATTCTTTGAATTAGTAGTTCTCAAATACTAATTAAGATTAACATGAGAAATAAAAGCTTTCCCGTGAGGAATCAGCTTTGAGATGCCTAGATAAACTGAAAAAGGAAAATATTTCAAACGACTAGGAGAATGGGGAACAGGACAATAGTGAAAATATGTCTGGCATCTTTTTTCTTTCTTGTTCTTTTCTTTCTTCTTTCCCTGGATTTACGTATTGAGGTAGTGGGATTTTCCCTCTCTTTCCTTCCCACTCCAACTTAAACTTTTTGAGAAACACTGCAATACTTTATTACTTAAAAAATTATAATACTAATAAATGTCAAGATCTTCTTGAGTTATTTATTGAGACAGTGCTGCAAATATCTTAGGAAATAAAGTAATGTGACTTTTAAAACTTAGTACATCAAGAAGTATTTGTTCTCTCAATTGCTACATCTACCAAGGTGCTGTAAAATGTTTTCTGTGTAAAAAGATAGTAAACACATTCTTTCACTGTTACTATTAAGTCCTACATTAATTTATTTACAAAACTGCATAATATATGCCAGTGTTTAAAAATGGAATGTGTTTATCTCTCACCCAGGCTATTCACAAGTGTAAAGCAGTGAGTGAAACTCTTATTAATGAATAATGCAGCTTCCTTGGGAAGAGTATGTGCAGTATTTCCTTTTCTTCTACAGATGTATGTTCTTCCAGTGAATGCTTACCGTTATTTCAGTCCACATATGCAAAAATGCCTGGTTTTACCTAGCAGAACAGATCCTTCTTCTAATCATTACATATGTGGCAGACTGTTTGCCTAACTCTTCATTGCTTCATGATAGAAACATAAATTTGCCAGTTAAAGGCTTACCTTTTACTAAGGCCAATTAAAGAACTTCTCTTGGTTGGTGGTTAGAATTTCCAGATGTACTTTGTTGCCTGCATTAGAAAGCTGGTGCTTGCTACAGTCACAGGAGTTTGGTGCTGGTAACATGCTAGCTTTAAGCCAGCAGTGTAGTCCAATTCACCTTTGCTGCTGTAGCTCATTTACTTTGCAGGCTCTTCAGTTTGTACCTTTTTAAGGGGTAAATATCAGCTGTAGTTAGTTTGTCTCCTAAAAAGATGTTAGTGAGATTTCTCACAGAACAGAAGAGAGCAAGTAAAAGAATTTTGATGGTGGCTTGTTTTAAAGCTGTTTTCCTGACAGTGTTTCACAGTTATGTCTTGATGTTTTTTAAGTTCCAGAAGTTGAACTCAAAGGAGAATCTTGCCGATATTATTTCTTGCTACAAGGCAATGGCTCTGGAGGATGTAAAGCAACCCTGATTCATTCAGCCAGCCAGATCAATGGTACGGCCGCTCTTGCTGCAGTAAATGGAAAGCTAAAGACAAAAGCAGAAGAAACAGAGTCAAGTAAGAGTTATTATCTATTTATTTAAGAGTATCTGAGTGCAGGCAAATGCTATGAAAATTTATATGTTCCTTTTATTCATTCCAGTCTGTGTTAAAAGGGAGAAAACAAGGAGGAACATTACATTTTGATGAATATCTCTATTCTTTCAGCAATATTTTTTCAGATTGATAAAACATATAGCACGAGCTTACTTATTCACGCAATTTACTACTACCCTATTTTTTAAATCAACTATGTACAGTTGTAGTCAGTCATTTCTGATAACTGTGATTAGTTGTAAATGTTTTAATGTACAGGGACACCCAGGTAATATCAATACAAATCAAATTTGCAGAAACTTAAAGTTTAAAAAGTATGTATTGTTGGTATAAAGACTGACCAGCCCATGCCTAAAATCTAGTCAATTATCTGTTGACAAGCCTATTTCACTGATGATTTAAAATAAAAACCACAAAGCCAGCAGGCAAGTTGAATTTCATGATCATGTCTTCAGTTATTTGGCAGATGGCCATATTACTGCAGAGTGGTTAGGAAATGGGCGAGCAGATGATCAGCTGCTCCACTAGGTAAAAGCATGTATGTAGACATTTATCTTAGAGTAGTTGTCCTGTTACAACTACAAATACTAGGTAACTCTGCTAATTCATGTATTTGTTCTCAATAACACTGACAAAGAAAAAGAGTGGGGTGACCTGCATCTTATCCTCTTATTTCCTTATTATTGAAATAAATCAGTGTGCGATATGACTGACTGCTTACCATTTCTCCTAATTAAAATCGCATTAGTACGGTGTCAGAAGACTGAAAGTCCTTGACCATATGTTGGGAGAAACCTTTTCTTTCCTGGTATGAAACTTAGGATCTTTTTACCTTCTTTAAATGTCAGTCATGTTAATTGTGTTGTCATTATATTGCTTTTGTACAGAAATTAAAAAATACTGGTCAGGTATCTATTCCAAGTTGTCCCCCTGGTGTCTTAATTCAATTGTAATGAATTTTTTTTTTTTTTAATTAGCCGTATTTGGAAGTCTGGTTCTTTCCTTTGAATAGGAAATTTGTATGTCTGCTGTGTTTATGTGTTCTTAAAAGAAGTAATGACTTGGTGTCTCCAAAGTCATAGGAGAGAATCTTATTAATAGATTTCTTCTAATCTCTACAGGCTTTTGTATTGCTGACTTTATCGAGTCTCTGCCACAGTTTTGTGGGGAGGAGATTGTACAGAGAGAAAAGAAACTGTCTCGTCTCCAAGTGTTTGCCTTGAAGGAATATCTCAGTAAGTAATGGGGAGAGCACCAGTAGTTCTCGAACTAGCATTTAAAAGGTCTTTATTTCTGACTGAATGTGATGGTTCACCTTGCAGTGAACTGATCACTTTGCAAATAAAAAAGTGGGGCTTTAAAAAGAAACTTTTTGTAGTATATCCATGATTGTATGTCAGATAATGACTTTTAAGTATTGAGGAAAAGAGAATGCTGAACTTTAAAATGAAGTTGGTGGGTGTTTGTTACGCTAATACTCTGAAAGTTTGAGCATAGTTTTGGAACAATTCTGTGGTAATTACCTTTTTCCTCTGCTCTTTTTTTTTTTTTTTTTAATGCTTTTTTCCCCAAACGAACCGTACTGCTGGATGGGCCTTCTACAAAAATAAGAATTCTGTTTTATGGTTTTGGGGGTTTTCTATTTTATTCTTTCTTGCAAAAGTCTTAAACAGCAGAGGAGAAGTATGCATTGGAGATTTGTTACATTTATCACGATCCCTCATTCATAATAATAACTGAAATGTCCTTCTCTGTGGATTTTCCTGACTTTGCAGAGAAGTACATTTGACTGTCCCGCTTTTTCTGTCTAAGTCCATTGCTCAAAGAGACTCATTTAAAACAGAAAATGCTTCTGAGAGATTGGCTAGATTATTGAAAATGGCATACTGTGAAGATAATCTAAGTGTATTATCGTTAACAGAATACCAGCTTAAGGAAAATAAGATTTCTACTAATAGTCTTGTCTTCCACCCGCCACCCCCATCAACTTGCAGTCATTCTTGGATTCCTGTCTACTTTAACCCTGAGCTTGGGGCTGCCTTAGAGCTTGTGTTTTAGTTTGTTTTGAGTGGGTCACCCATTTCCATTAGGATGAAGACTGAATAGGAGCAGTTGGGATTTGCCAGTCATCCTAAATCGTATCAGAATTACCTGACCCTTGAAATTCTGACCAAAGAGACCGGAACAGGCTGTCAGTTATGCTGGAGCCACACTCCTGCAACAGCAGTAAAAGTAGGTGGATAGGAGGCTCTCTAGACTGGTGCTTTTCATGTTTAGGCTCAGCAAGTCCAGATGTTTGTCTCTGGGGGATTCCAACCTGGATATACTCAGAAATGCACTTACATAGAAATTAAAGGACTGTAAAAAGGTGATTCACATGTGATTTCAGCTATTCTCACTGCTAAGTTTTTTTCACTTGCCTATGGAATAAACCACCCATGCCTTGCTTAAGGGGTACAATAGTAAGTGTCAAGTTAACTTACTTGTGTTATTTTTTGGGGGTGGGGATTTTTTTGTTTGGTTGGTTTTTAGCAGGCTCCAGTTATTCTTTGTTACTTAACAGGTGTAATAGCTTCTCTTTCTTTCTCTTTCCTTTTATAGAGAGAAAGGAATTGACCGAGCAGCCTCCAGTTATTTCTACTGATGAGTTAAAAAACTTGTTAGAACTTACAAGAGAATGTATATTGGACCTGTGCAACACTAGTTTTTCTAAATCTGTTCTACAGAAGGTTGCAAATAAAACTAGGTCATGCACTGTGACTTCTGGTAAGTGTCATTATTTAGAAATTACACTGCTTGTTCTCTTTTGATGTATTTTCATACCTGTTGTCAATTTTTTACTAAAAGAAGGAGAGTCTTTTACCAAAGAGGGAAGAATAGAAGGAGAAGTAAAGTAGCTTTCTAGGCTTTTTTGCAAACTGAAATTACCCTCACATTATCTATTTCCTCTTTTTTCCTTGACAAAAAAAACCAAAAAAGCAGAAAACATTTCTGATCACAGCATGAGGCAGATTTTCCTTATTAATACATTTTTTTATATATATATAAGGGAATATATATATATGAAGGAGTATATATACATATATGTATTTCTTTAAAAAATAAGATTCTTTACTTCTGTGAAGGGCTATCCACCATATATTTCTTGCAGAATCTGATTTAGTGGAGCCAAATCCATTGGAGTGGCCAGAAAGACACGTTCTTCAGAATTTGGAAAACTTTGAAAAAAACAAACAAAAAATGAGGTAATGGTTAAACACTGGAGATTTTCTTTGTAGTGGCCATTGAACATCACTTGAAAGGAACTGTATATGTTGATAGGCATTTTGTAAACCGTTTTCAAATATATTGATAATCTTTCAGAGGAAGTGTTGCTTAAGGCTAAAACTAAGTTTCTGTCAATTTCCGAAGGTGTGTTTTCTTGGTATTTAAAGTAGTATTGTTTTGATTTTTATTGACAAAATGCAGCTGAAAGTTAGCTAAAAGTAACACGGTTCCAAAACTAAATTACCAAAATTACTACAAAATAGTAGCCATAGTAGAAAACCATAAAAAGCTTTTTTTTTTTTTTTTCTCCCAACATGCCCTGTGGTATAAATATTAAAGATAGTGCAGCAGTTTTTGTCAGCATGTACAATGTGTTTCTGATCTCCTCATATTTTCTAAATAGTCAGGACTTAGTGTCAGGTCTCATGTAATTTTAATGTAGAAGATCCTATTGGGTTTATGTTTTAAATTCATATTTAGTTTTGGTTTTCCTTCAGTGCTGTTTAAGTGAAACCTGTAGACCTTTGTGTCGCTTAATAAAGCCTACTGATATCAGTTTAGCTCTCACTTTTATGTAAGACTTAATGATCTTTTCTGGGTCTTAACATTTTTGCTGACAGACCTTTAGAGCCAGGTCCAATTGCCTTTTTCTTAGTTACTTCCATCCCATTTCGGTCTCTTTCAAATACCGTAGTTGGCCATGGCCTAAATTGGAGTTCTGCATGTCAGAAATTCTGACATTTGATCTCTGCTTTCTCTTGGGTGGTGGTATTATTGTTATTATTAGCTTTTCTTTCTCAAACAGGTGAAGTTCTTCCTTCTAATTAGCTTTTGAAAAGCTTCCTGAAGGACCTTTCTGTTTCATAGTCAGTTAAAGTTTATTTCATTGTATTCTGAGCTGGTTGTCTGCTTATCCTGAATCACTGTACAGTATGTTGCTTAACAATAGAAAAGAGAGAGCTTTGCTAGACTTGATTGAGGACACTAAAAAAAAAGTAGAGTGGAGAGTTGCATGCAGTAGTGGCTTTATGGTTCCTTTGCTGCATATTGTATGTTGTTGGGTTTTTTTAATGGGAAATAATTCTTGATCTTACAGGTCTATAAATGGAAAAAAGGGATGAATAATTTTCTTCCCATGTTTTATTTCATAACTAAGCTATAAAATCTTGAAGAAATTACTTTATTCAGTAGGATGGTAGAGAATTTGCATCAAATAAAGTTTATCATGAACATTTGTGTAAATGTTCTCAAGGAGCAACCTTGTTCATTTTATTTTGGAAATATGTTTAATTGCTCCAGACCAGCAGCAATTTTTAATTTTTTTTTAATACAACAAGATTACTACATTGAAAAGAATAAAAAAAATTCTTAGATTGGTCGTCTTTTTTTTTTTTTTTTTCTGTTTCCCCTTTTTTCAGAGTTTCTATGCTTGCACATTCATCTGAGCAATTGCTGGGACATAAAGATAGCCAACGGGAGTCATTGACATTGCTTGATGCTAAAGAATTACTGAAATATTTCACACCAGAAGGGCTACCAGTCGGTGATCTTCAGCCACTACAAATTCCCAAACGGTATGAATCCAGCATATTGAAACCACTGAAGACTGTACTCAGAACTGATGTAGGGGAATGTAAATAACGACCAAATGAGAGTCTCAGAATGGCCTAACTGGATTTGAGTTTGTAACTGGCACCATCCTTTCATCACATGCCTGCCAGTGAAATCGACTGTTAAAGTCCTCCAGTTGGTCTTGCTATTTAGTTCTTTCCGAATCTGAAGTGGCCGGAGATGATGATGTTGGTCCTATGCATTTAAATAACAAAATAATCACCTGATGCGCCAAAGTATGCCAGTAGGCCTTTGGCATGGCTATGCTACAAGCTGCCGCCACCATACGTGTCCGTTTCCAAAAGAGTATTTCTAACAAAGCAGAAGTTACTGTGGCAGAAGTTTAGTTGTATTGGTGTGATTTCTTTTATTCAGTGGAGGAGAGACCAGGTGGGAAGACAAAGTGTAAAAAGGGCAACAGCTGAGCCTATTTAACTGTGTGTGTCATGTCATGCTGGCCCAGCATTCCTATCAATATTTTTGTATGGTAAAGTGCTCCTTAAAGGAAGCTTGTCTACTCTGACTTCTTTGCAAGTATTCATCCTTAGTGTGTCTGCTGGTAAGTATTAGTGTATTAGCTACTGCTTTTTCAGCAGTAAGATTGATACAAGGATTTAATGGAGTAATTTTCAGGATCTGAACATCTGTTAGAGTAAGGCCAACCTATACAAGAGTCAGACAGTGTTTGTAGAAGCAGAGCCTATGCTATTTGTGCAGTGTGTCATAGATTGCTAGGTAAGCAAGACAATCTTTGCAGTCACTAGAGTTATATTTGTTGACCTTTTAATGTTGAATAATAGAATGTATAATGGAATTATTGGATACAGCCCTCAATCCTTTTTTTAAACTTCATTATGTGTAATAAATTAAGAGGGCTTGTGAGAAGGAAAGATTCTGTAGAATTTTAGAGACTTCTGTAAGATACTTATTGGAGTTTTGAAAGTAACTTGAAGATGTTCTGAGTGGAGAATTCAAGCAAGTTAGAAAATATGCAGTGAAGGTTGAGAGTCTCCTACAGAGTTGTTAGTTAATGAGTGCGAATGATTTAGGATTTTGGCTATAATGTAAAATATTTTCATTCCAATTAGTTGTGTGGGAAAGATTCACTACAAAATTTTTTTTTTTTTTTTAAATTTCTGATTTTTTTCAAAAGCCTCCAGGGAAGCTTTATAGCACAGAATACTTTGATTCTCTTGAACGATTTGCTTTGAGCTATAGCTGAGTGAAGTCTGAGTTTGAGGGGGTTTGCCCCAGTTTGCTTGGGTTTCTGCCATTATTATGAAAAAGTATGATGATTAAATCTTTGCTTTGTAGTACATGACTGTAATGTGAGTCTCTCTCATAATACTTAGAGATCTTGGATATCTAAGGGAAGTATAAAGCCAAAACCAAGATACTAGATAATAAGGCAGACTAAATGTTTTTGCTTGAAGGCTACAAGGTCTGACAATGACTTATACTGTACAGATGTATTCTGCTTCATCCAAAAAGAAACCAGAAAACCTATGAAAATCTATAGCTAGATTGTTGTCTGGGAGATGGTGAACCATTCACTTTCTGACCTACCAGGTTGCTGTTACTGCTGTGTCCAGCAGAACTCTGTACTCCTCTCCCCCCACCCCCAGCAGGTGCTCTGACTATTCTCCGGAATAATTAGCAGCTTTGCACAGTAGATGTTCAAGCACAGTGACTACAGACCCAAAGATTTTCCTGACCAACAGAAGAAGGAAGAGATTTTATGAGAGGCTGATGAATTAGAGAGTTTTCACTTGTTTTCCATGTTTGATCTTAAATAGAGGTTTGATAGATTAGAGTTTTGACTGACAGTCTTTCTAAATGACCATCTTGCTAGATTCAGTATCACATCTTTCCTGGATGGTTTTCCCAGATAATTTTTCCAGTGGTAATGGTGCAGATACAGCCTATGTGAATAAAACTTGAAGCAATGTGTACGTTTCAGATACTGCTACACCTTGCCTTTGTCTCTTCCCTTCTTTAGAGATAATTGGGATGTGACTTTACAGGATGTGCTAGGATCTGGCAGCAAGCTGTTTCTGTCTGTCTTGCTATGGCTTATTCTGTTGAAATACTTTCAAATACATTCATATGATTTAGTTGCAGAGAGTTACTAGCTGGAATTCAAGTATCACAGGAGACAAGCGGTTAGTTATAAAACCTGGGAAAGGTGACTGTTAGGTGAGACAACAACTTGAAGCTAAAGGGAAGGAATTCACTGATGATAGCACTGGATTGAGACATGGGAGATCAGTTCCCAGTTCTTCTCAGTTCATTCTACTACTCAGGTGCCCTAGTGTGAAATGGGATTATAGTTGCCTGGTTTTATTCATAAATTATTTGGAGCAGTGACCTCTAAACTGGTTGAAATGTCTAAGAGCTTCTGTAATAATAATAGCTCAGTAGGTATTAGTTAGTTGAACTTAAATTCTCACTTCAACAAGGATTTAATTTTCCATTGATGCTGTACCCCAGGGGCTTAGCTACAAGACATGCTGTTTTGGTCTTTGTATGTCAAGGCATTTGTTTCTGACTTCTGGGAGTATAATTTATCCTGACTGTAACTAGTTAAAATCAATCTGTATTTTTTTCCTTTCAGTGAAAACGCATTCCTTTTGACACCAGAGCTTACTCCTCGGAAACTCAGAGGTTTGCCTTTTGAAAAAGCAGCTGGATGCCATTATCATGGACTTGAGTAAGTTTCCTGGCTTCTTTCCCAAAATTATTTTTCAGCTTCCAGTCCAGGTATAATTAGAAACATTTCAAGCAACATGAACGTTAATTATGGAAAACTTTATGTATCCTTTTCCTTCGTTGGAACAATTTTGCACATGCCACCTCTCACTTTCTTACCTGTATTTTACTCACCGGTTTAAATTGCAACACTCCTGCCTTAATGGTAATGTAAAAACATTTAAGGAATTGTACTGCTGTAGCTATTCTTAGTGTCCCTGAAAATTTTAATTCAGAATTAGAAGTGGCAAGGGGAAGAGGGTTCATTAGTACATATCAAGTCCCTGGAGCAGCACATGAGTGAACGACATACATAGTTTCTACTTTGATATTAAATTATAGGCACTTTCAGACTAATAGTCATGAGGCTTATGAGACCTGCTGTGAAACTACCTGTATGTTCAGGGAACCTGAAGACAACACCAGCAGGCAAGTGTTAGTGGTAAGACGCTTCAAAAGGATCAATATGGTTAGGACTGCAGACAGCCAGCACTAGTTATTTGTCAAAGCTTCAGATGGGCAAACACCATATATATATAGCTGTATAAAAGTTGTTTAGAAAAATAGAAATATTGTCATTGAGGAGAAGAGGAAAAAGACATACACAAATGCTAGAGCAGATAATTCAGCATAACTCTTCTGTATAGACAGACTCTTAGTCTTAACGCAGTATATATTAAGAAATGCAGTGGGTACCAAGTGTAGGCAGTTCAGTCTTCATACAAATTTCTGCCGTCTCCTAAAATCACATTTTCAGATTATCAGAATGTGACTAATGATACTGCTGGTATTTGTTTCCTATCAGCTGCACAAATAGTTTGGTTAAGCCGATGTTTACTATCTGGTAATTTTAGCCACATTCTCTATGGAAGTGAAGCAGACGTTCTATCTGTTCAGCTATCTGTTCCTTCTCTTTGTCTAAGTGGTAACTCATGAGCCTGTTAGCCTTTTTAGATTTGTAACAAAAGGCACAGAGAGGCAACTGGGTAGATAGGAGAAATGCAGATTTGTCCTCCCTGGTGTGGAAAGAAAGCTCTTGGCTGTTGTCTGTTGATATGTGGTAGCTTGCTGACATGTGTGACCTTAGCAGGGAGTGTGCATGGGGATTCAAATTAGGCACAGCACGGCTTGTGCTGCCTCTTCTTACAGCAAAATACGACAGGTAGAGGCCACAGGGAGGCCTGGATATTGCGGAGAGGAGGGAGACCCTGGCATATTAATGTTACAAGGGGAACGTGCTAGCAATAAGGGAGGGAGGCAGTAGAGTGAGATGGTAGAAACTAGTGTGAAAGGGAAGAACCTCCAGCTGTACAACCAGAATATATTGTAGCAACAGTATCATACGGCCTTCTGGAGCACATGTGTTTTGTACCATACAGTTGTGATCACAGTTTTCATCTGCCTTGCTGCTGTATTTATATTTGGAAGTAAAGTCTTGTCAACAAAACCAGGAGTAGCAGTTATGATTAAATCAAATTTCTGGTGTAACGAACCTGTGCCAAACACTTGAATCCTGTGTTGCAAAGAGAAAGTAATTGCTGTTAAAGCAGAGTGAGTAAAATAGCAATTTAACGTATAAAGATAAAAAGATTTTTATCTTTGCAGGGGATGTGATTACTCAAGGGACTGCGAATATAAATAAGGAAAATTAAATACCTTGAAATTTGTAACTTAAGAGAACTTGCTCTTATCAGATAATGAATTTATTTCTAGTGGAAAGTCTTACTCAACTGTAGAAATGGATTCCCTCATCTGTTATTAGAAAAGTGAGTTTCTCCCTGAATATGAAAATACTCTGAAGAAAGTGGAAAATCAGATCTAGCAATTTAATGTGACTCTGTGTTAAGAGACAAAAGTAAAGAATATGTCTAGTGTTCCTAAGAGTAGGAAACATTGCTAAGTGGTTTGGGGGGTGCGCTGAGAGATAGCTCACGTTATTCAGAATGCTTAAGAAAAGGACGGAATAATATTGGATAATACTGTTGTCTTTCCCTGCAGTAGAGGTAATGTAAGTTTTATTGGGCAATGAAACATTGGTTTCTTGCAAGAAATCTTGGAAATCCATTTACACAAGAGAAAAGTTAGTTAAGATGCATTTTGTATTGTTGTAATCTCATGAGTATGTTTCACTGAGTTAGCACTGTTCATTTGTTTTCTTTCAACTCCACCGTTAATATGGTTTCTTCTTTTGATTTGGTTGATTAAACCACTTACTCTTTGTAATCAATAGGAAGCTGGGAAGCTTGTGCTTGTTCAGTGACACTCTTGTATTCTTAGCACTTAAAAAATATGAATCTCTCATATAGGAGTACTTATCTCAGACAAAACTAAAGGTTGCATTTCCAAAGAGTGCAGTTAGCAAAGAACCTGTACTAAATAGCATTTAAAACACCATGCCCTGTCTTCCCCATACTTACACTCAATTAATACAATCTCACAGCAACTTAATTTTTGGCACAGCCTGGCTCTTCCTAAAATTATGTCAGTATCGTTTCATTTTGGGATTCCTGAAGTACTCATAACTTGCAATCAATTCAGCTTCTTTGTTGGAGTTAGTCTTAAATATAGCTAAAGCCATCAGACGTGTTAATTTACTGGGCTGTTTTAAGTATCTTTCAGAACAACACACCAGTCCAAACAAAAAAAGTTTGGGAGCTTATATGATAGTCAAAAGGATGTCGTTCTGTTTTTTTTTCTGATTGTAATAAAGTAGAGACTTTCTGTCACAGGTTTCTCACCAATTGCAATTTTAGATATTGTCTAGATAACAGAAGATCCTTAGAGAGAGATGTGGGATATGCTGAACTTCAAACTCGTCTTATTCGCTACGAAACTCAGACTACTTGCACCAAAGAGTGCTGCCCGGTGCCAGTTGTCTTGAGCCCTCTCCCATCTCCTGCAGTCTTGTCAGAGCCTGGAAGTGTCCCTGATGGAGAGTCTTTACAAAGTGAATTCAAAACGGAGGCATCAAGGCTAAAACGCAGATCAAAAGATTTGGATTGCTTTTATCCCAAGAAAAGGTAATGCACTGAATAAAATAAATCCTTAGCATGAAATATTTCAGTAGTCTCTTGTGAAATGCATCTTTTCTTTCATCTCAAAATGTTTTTAGTGAAGCTATCTAGACAAATGTTCTAGTTGTTTAATCCTCTTCTGTCAGTTCATTTTTTTTTTTTCTCAAGTGTGACCTCTCATTGATAGCATTAGATTAATCAAAACCATGCAGCACAGGCACCTTTTATTTAAGAGATTTGGGATTGTATCCTGCAAAGTCTCAAGTGCCTTTGAAAAGATGACAGATAGCCTCATCTAGGACCGAAACTGTCAGTGCTGTTGCAATACAAACAAACCACTAAAGGTTTAGAAAGCCAAGCACTGTACAAACAGAATAATTGAAATCCTAATCCAAAGGACTGCTGGTATGAGATGACCTACCGAAATTCAAACTTATTGTCAGCCTTGTTTATTAAAGTCTTCTCTGGAAGTCTAGTTTTTAAGACTTCCCTTTGTACCTTGTCGTCACTCTGAAGATGCAAGCTCTTTGCGTCAATAAAAAATAACTGCCATGTAACACTACTTCTGAATTCACTTTTTGCTGTAATACTTCACTTCTTCCTTCTTTTCAGTTTAATACCCTTTGCAATCTAATCGCAGCAAGCCTTTAACAGAGGTATGGTTTTAGGAGTATCCATATCTTTTGCGGCTTACTGAACAGTTAGAAAAGAAGATGCGATTATACTTAGCACTTCATAAATTGGAGTTTCAATTACTAACGCTCTTACAGTTGAAGGATCAAGCATTACAGTGTTCCAGTAGAATTGTAACGCCCGACTTCCCATAGCTAGAGTTGTGTCATTCCTGTAGGGCCAAAAGAAATTAGTTTCAAGAAGTTTTGTCTTAGCCTGAGACTGGAAGCCAGCAAATTCTGCTCTTCCTAGCTATTTAGATGAAGGGTCCATATGCAGAACTACCCCTTCTTCCAAAGAGTTTCTTTTCTTAGTTATCTTGTTTCTTCAGTTCATTTCTAGACTTTTTTAATGAGAGATACAATGGTTCTACGTATCAGAGACCAAATCAGTCAGTAAAGTGTTCTTCTAATACAAAAAATGTTGCATAATAAAATCGTATGCTGTTTGCAAGAAGGTACAGTTAATACTCTTAGCAGCAGCCTCTGTAGCAGAAACAAAAGCACCAAAAGAGTCGTTACATAATCTAATTTTTTCTTTTTTTTTTTTTTTTTTTCTTTCCAGGCTAACCAAATCTGAGAGTACAGATTCCCTCCTCTCTCAGGCAAGCGGAAGTAGTGGGAGTCACTACACAGTTGCTGTAACGAGGAAGCGCTCTGAAAGATCAGTTTCTTTAGCTTCGATGCCATTGAAACAGCCTGGTCAGCCCCAAAAAGTAACCACTAAGGTTGGCTCAGCAAGTCGTGTAAGTGTGACGGAATCTGAGACTTCAAAGCCAGCTAAGGAATCGAGATCCCAGAAACATACAAGGGTAAAGGTCTATGTTGTTTGCTTAGTGAAAAAGCATCCGCTTAACTTCTTTCCATGTGACTTGATTTTTTAAAAATTTTTTAACTCAAAGTGAATTGTGTTCACCTCTATTTGTTATTATTAAATTTCATTCTGTTCACTTGTGTAAGTGAATCCTGAAGGCACTGAGAGTGCTGCAGAAGCAAGGAGTGAAAAAGTATGTAAGGGGTATTATATCATGCCCAGGGAATTAAGGCTGAGAGAGGTAACAATTAGGAATAAAAAAGGTGGGAATGGATATCAATGAATAGGAGTTGTGAAATGTAGAAAATTAATATAAAACCTAAAAGCACCAAAGAAATATCTGTGCTGGAAGGGCCAAAGCCATTGTGGAAGAACAAACTATTCTGAGAATAAATAGATATTCCAGTAGTTGTATAAGTCCATTAATTGAGATTAAATTTTAATACTTTGGTGCAATAATGTTTGATTAATAGCTGTTATATTAGGAATGACACATTTAAAATACACTACACAAAACTGTTTCTGGCTTAGTGATACTAATTTTAAATTAATCCCAGGGTGCTAGAGAGGACACTGCATGAATGTTGCTGTCGTACTGTCAAAGACAAGCTGGGATGACCCACGTAAGCGTAAATTGGTGTGACTCATTCAGACCTACAGCAAAGTTTAAACATCTCTGATATAAAGAATGTCAGAGTAAATTTTGTGATCTGACCGTAGAGTCTGATTTTTTTTTTTTTTTTTAATATGGGTGTGTCAAGCAAGGAAATATCAATATAAAGAAAAGTTTGTTTATATATATACACACAGTACTTTGGAGAAGAGAAAGCCCAAACCATTATCAATTTTTTTTTTGTCTTCCAAGTCCCGTGTGAATATTCACTCATCCTTTACATTGCTTTGACATGTAAGCACTTCCTTAATTTTTGAGATGAAGGAAATGGAAATAGATTGTTAAATAACTCTGCCCAAATTGGGTCAGTGGGTTGAGGGCATTTGGCTAATGGATTAAATACAGAGGCAAGATCAAAAAAGATCAGGTGTTCTATTTCTTTTTTTTTTCCTTCCCTATGACAATTTTTCATGCCAATAATTGGATGAACTTTTGAGTGTGTTTCTCTTGTTTCCAAGATGCTGAAGGAGGTGGTTGCTAAGACTCTTCAAAAACATGGAATTGCAGAGGATCACAAGTGCTTTGCATCATGCAGCCAGCGTCTATTTGAGATATCAAAGTTCTACTTAAAGGTAACTAGAAGACATGCTCTTACAGTTGTTTGTTCTTAGTTAAGTGAATCCATTGCTGAATAAAACTTGAGATGGACTGTGGAATATTCAGACCTGATTAAGCTAATATTTCCTAGTGGTGTGTTAGTAGTGTGTAGAGTGTGTGCATAAACCTTTGGACTTGTGAAATGCAGAACCTAGTTTTACAGTATATTTTGGTGGTTGTTTATTTGTTTTTAAACCTTATAAAGCAGTAGTCTTTTATGGAAGATAACATGTTAAAGTGGTGGTCTGTTAGGTAAGGTCACGCTTATACTATATTGCAGCTATCTCCCAGCCATAGCTGTGACAGCTCAGCTTCTCCCTTGTTCTAAGGCGATTCGCTCAATAGGTAGCTTACAAACTGACTCAGAAATTCCAGTTCCCTGACCTGCTCACAGAAGTCCTTGTAAATGCATTGTAAATGTGCACAACTAACACATACTGACTTGGCAACACCATGTAGAATTGCATCAGCCTCATTTTTAAGAGGAGATAAGAATTCTTTCCACAATACCTAGGATACTTTGTGAGTCAATGCTTGAGCCCATGTTACTTAGTCTGGGGATAAAACTGAGTTAAATTACTGTACAGGGTGTTTAAAAGCTATTGCTCACAAGCTGAGCTGCTGTTACTGTTCATTTGTATATGTTCAGCCTACCACTATTTGTGAACTAAGTCGGTTTAGTCAACTTCAGTAAAGGTGATTTAAGCTAAATGAAGTTGCAGTTGAAGAGGGCTGAATGCTTACACAATTAGACCATCTTGCTGATGAGCACCAACTTCTTAAATAATTAGAACACAGTTGCGCAGTCATTCTGTAAGCACTCCCAAAATCTCCCAGAAATATGCCCTGAAGGAAGATCTTCTAATCGAAAATCAGAAAGAGCTGCATGTAGGGATGAGTGAGCAGTGCAAATCAGATGGGTTCACAGTTCCATTCCAAGCAGAAGAGCAAAAGGAAGAGTACTGCAGTGATCCTGTCCTGCGGAAAGCTGATCTAGAGAGAGGTGTAGCAGGATTTAGTTCTCATGAACTGTCTTGCAGCCCCAAGTCTGTAGGAGCCCTTTGAATCCTTTTCTGTGCTGCGTACTTCAGAAGCATGATATCATATGTATCATTTTCCTTTGGAGACAAGTAGTAAATGAATTTTCTTAGTTTTCCTTTCTCTTTAGGCAAAGTTATGTGTTTGCTTTGTTTAAGAGACTGGATTAGGTTGGGCTAACTGGACTGCAAAACAGACAAGCCACTCAAGGTTTTTCCTTTCTTGCACTGATTTTCTTTCTCAATGTTCTCTTCACTGTTCTTTACTAGAACTCTGTATTGCAGTCTAAGCGCACAGCTAATTTCCATGTTTATATAGAAATAAGATTTCTATCAAGAGTGCAAGAACTTTGAATATCATTTAAGAAAAAAATATACTGGAAGTGTGCAGAAGGCTAGGAAAAGTGTGACTCAATCATACACTTGAGTACTAGGTTTGGACAGCTGTAGAATGTCAAAGCCATTTGTATAGATTTAGATTTTTTTTTTTTTTTTAAAAAAAAAAACAAAACAACAAAACAAACCACAAAGTCAAATAATTCTTCTGTGGTTCTGAACAAGGTGATAAAAGGGTAACACTGCCCCTGATTATTAGGGCTCTTATAATCCAAATTAGAGTGAGCATATGAGTTTGCTAATTTCTGTGGCTTTGTGTTTCATATTTAGGATCTTAAAACTTCTAGAGGACTTCTTGATGAAATGAAGAAAACGGCAAATAACAATGCTAAACAGGTAAGACCGTTTCTTTATTTGTTCCTGTAACTAGCCAAGGCTAAATGTAGCTGTGGCAGCTTGGCTGTAGGATGGTTTAATCCACAGCTTTAAGAGATGAAGCGATGCATTCCTATGGCTGTGGGTCTTGTTTCACTGTCTGATCTCACAAAAACTTTCTCTCAATCAGTAGTCCCATAGCAAAATTTCCAGTTGCATATATTCAGGTTTTAGATGGTATTATAGTTATAGCTGCCAATATGATGTGTCACAGTGAGAAATGGAAATGAAGGCAATAAATGTTTCCACATCACTGGGGAAAAAAAAAAAAAAGGAGAGATGAGTTTTTTCTTCATTTGAGAGAAGCCTGGATCATTAGGGAATTCTTTCCTTGCATTCCTTTTCAAAGGTTAGGAGGCAATAAAGGGATCTATAAAAGGAAATAAATTTCTTAAAAGAAGCCATGAAAATTAGTAATTTTAAGCTTGGGAATAACTCTAAGCACAAGGGATATCAGATGAGCTTATTTGTATGTAAGGTGGGACTTACATGAACAGTAGTGCAGAGCAAGTGACAGGAGTAAATACTCCGGTACTCCAGAAATTAAGTAACTCTGTTTTAAATTCTGAAAAACATGCTGAAGTGACTCTATGATGTTTTTTAAAAAAAAAAAGGTATGGTGCATTACAGGACAGTTTTCAAAATCATAAATTAAATGGAAGGATTTGGACTGGGGTAGTTAAACAAGAAAACCCAAACTCTTAAGGAAAACTGCTAGATCCCCACAGAATTTATTCTATAGGAGCAGTATTTATTGTGTTGTGTACTGTGTTCTCTTGTGAATTGCTTCCTACAGATCATAAGGTTTAAAAAACTACATGGGTTGTGATGTTTGGTGTTGAACTGGGACATTGTGCTGATAACTGTTTCTCACCACCATCTTTGTCTGGGGAGGCCAGCTGCTAGTTTTATGTACGTTTGCTGTTGGCAAAGAGGCATTAAAATTGGGGATCTTTTAAGCTGGCCACCTCTCCCTGTACTAGAGAATATTTTGAAACTACCTTATAAAAAATATAATTGCCCAGGACAATCGGTTGTCTGAACGACTATCTGTTTGGGAAACAGCAGTAATAATGGTGGCAGATAGAGCAGTGTACAATTTATTCTTTATCCTTTCTTTTACAGCTTTAGGAATTTTTTGTGCTGGAAATGCTAGCTGTTTAGCACTGTGTGTGCACCTAACAGGGTGCTAGTACATGGAGAGAGTGGGGTGAAGTAGCTCAATTCAGGGGATCTAAAAATGCCTTTTTCTAAAGATGAGGCAGTCTGTAAGATTAAAGACAGTTCTTTGGTAACACTGTATCTTATTTTATTAACAACTCTTTCTCCTTTTGAATGGATTACTTTTAAATCCTGTTTAGTAAACACCACACAGGTGGTGATAAAAGAAAGAATTGATAAAGTGTATGAGATGTTCTTAAGTTGTTTTCAAGAACTGGAGTTACGTCAATCACTGGTTTTCTCCTGTATTTTCCCAGGTGATTGAATGGGTTTTGGAGAAGACTGGCACATAAAGTTACAGCATGGATGCTACTCACACCTTCCTAGAAAGTGTGGAGAGCAAGCACTTCCGATGATAAGAAAAGCATTATACTGCCTAACACATGCACACACATATCTGCACACCAGAAGGACTTTGGTCAGTGTACTGACATAGGCTCAATTCTCAAGCACAATAGCATGTTTTGAAACTTTTTATACTGGAAGTTTTTATTTTTTAAAAAATTCAAATGAAAAGAGGGTTTATTTTATATGTGTATTTATTATGTTTCATTGTTAAAAGGAATATAGCTTGACTTGGTTTGATAAAGCTTTGTATGTTTTTCAACCCATGTATTTGCTTTTAATGTGAATAAAAAACCCACCAGATTTAATAACAAAACTACTTTGTTTTACGCTTTTGTGTGAAGACCTCTGTTCTGTTTATTACTACTTGCTGTTGTATAAACAGCTGTTTACAGCATCAATTGTTGACATTTTATAGAATAAATAAGAACAGTTCCTATTCTGCAGGTGAAAGCAAACAGAATTTGAGTCACAATTATCTCTGTGTTGTAGTACAAAGGGGAAAAAAAAGCATATCTTTTGAAACTTGATGCAAGGTCCCATTAAAGAAAGGATCATTGTTTTACAAGCTGAATTTCCGGTATAATTTCAGGTGTACTCTTTGTAACACTTCTTTGAAACAATTCGTAACAGCGTTCTGAGATTTCTTTTCATGGGGGATGAGAAAATCAAAATGATAGCAGTAACGATGATTGTGAGCGCTGTGAAAGAGCTGGCGTGCTTGATGAAATGTAATGGAAAGAAGAAGTTCTACCTGAGTTGCAAGCACAGTAAAATACTAAATTTGGCCTCAGTTTACTTAAGTCTCAGGCATGTACCTGGCTTGTACCAGTGTAATTATTCAAGTTACTATTATGCTGAGATGAGAAGTTCCTACCACAACAAATACATTTTACAGCTTTCAGGGTAAGGATTTCCTATTCGTTGTATAAACTAACGTGATTAAAATTGATAAGAGATGCAGTGTTATTGTTTGCTATATTCTTCTGGAAGAAAAATGGATTAAGCAATACTAATATGAACAAAATTTAATATTATGAAAAAGTAGTTGAACTAAACCATGTGTAGGTTAGACTTGATACTGTGAAATCTACTCATTCTCTAAAGAGCCTTCCTGATTTTGTGACATTATTCTTTGCTTAATTCTATTTTGTGTAAAGCCGAGCCCTAAGGAGGTTTTTCCCGTCTAACAGGATCTTGCATTTAAGTCTTCTGTACCTTTGTTCCAATGTGTGTTCTCCTGAACTCTACCAGATCTTGTATACGTGGGTGTGTGCTTGTTTCAACAGCGCTCTGAGCGGCAACAGGAAAGCTACGTGGCTGTTTTACTGTGACCGTAGGCTAGGGAGTACCGTGGGCCCTAGCCCAGGACAAACACAACTACTTAGGAGTGGGGTTACATTTGTCTGCAAAATGCCACACATCCATAGCATCCAGGTTGAACTGATTTGATGAAATAGAAATGCAATGAAGGTAGATATTTAAATAATTATTTAATAAGTGCATGCACGAAATTGCTCCAATGTGTTAATGTGTATGGCTCACATTTCTTTGCCTTCAATACAGAAAACAAGAAATTAAGGAAGACATTAATCTTCCTTTACATCTAATATTGAGTAAAAAGTCTCTATGTCCAAACAGAGAGAGAAAAGCCCTAAGTTATAATCTCATATCTTCACCCTGAATGCTGGTATTTTGTCCAAATACTAAAGCAAGCCACTGAAAGTTTTATTTCCTACTTAATTTGGGGGGGGGGGGGGGTACAGAAAACAAGAAATTAAGGAAGACATTAATCTTCCTTTACATCTAATATTGAGTAAAAAGTCTCTATGTCCAAACAGAGAGAGAAAAGCCCTAAGTTATAATCTCATATCTTCACCCTGAATGCTGGTATTTTGTCCAAATACTAAAGCAAGCCACTGAAAGTTTTATTTCCTACTTAATTTGGGGGGGGGGGGGGGTTTTCTTATGTGTAAGTTGATAAGCAAAATTACAGAAACTCTACATTTCATAAAATACTTGAGGCTAGCTGCCATGAGCAAAAAAAAATCCCTTTCAGGAAAGTAATTAGTATTCCTTAACTGGTGTTCTTGATGAAAAACTATCTGCATGTATCTGTAGAAGGGCTTCTATAAAAAGGTGCTTTTTAAAATGATTTTTTATTACTTTCTCATTCCTCCCCTTAGCTCTCTGTGGTGGCCATAGTAAGCCCTGGATTTAGATACTATCTTATTTCTACTTTGAGTAGAACCCAATGGTTATTATTTTAATTAATTCTGTAGACTCAAAGGCTGGCCTGAAATAATCAGCAGGA